TAAGAAAAATACAAATTAAAATGTTGGCGGTATGAGAGGTTGGTACTTTTTTAAAGATTGAAAGAAACAGAAATGTAAAGGGCAAAATCCTGTTTTTCATTAAATATTTAATAAAAATGGCAAATAAAATAGCATGACTACAATATTGGGATGATATTATCTATGAATACTTTTATGACTTAGCAATTGGGCTAAAACAATTATTAAGAAATAAAACTTCTGAGACATTATTTCAGAATTCAAGAAAAATTTCTTATGAAGAGCCTAGAAATTAATAATTTTTATCATTAAGCACTCTACAAACAGAATAAAATAAATTAAGCATACCTGGTGTCCAGCCTTTACTTGCTTCAAAACACTTTCATAACATACTTCATCCATGTTATTCAATTGCTGCATCTTAAAGTTTTAAGAACATGAAAAATATCAAATGAAGCAATTACAAACTTTCTAGCTACACATAAAACTTTGTCAATTACAATCCATCTTTTTTTAAACTTTCAGACTAACTAGAATACAGAAGCAATAAATGAAATATAAATATCTAACATATAACAACCCATAGGAAACATACATAATACAATTAAAAAATACAAACAAAATACCTCAGACTATAGTGTCAGAGTACTAACTTTCTAAAAGTGCCATGTTTTTAAAAGGCAGTATCTTTAAGGATAATATACTAGTTACAGATATTTTAGAATAATTTTTAAAGTTCTCTCTTCCCCAGAAAAGCCCATTCTTTAGGCTGTTTCTTTTTTTTTTTTTCTATTTCATTCTATAAACCATAATCCTTTCCTGTATCATTCTCAAAGTTAGGAGCATACTACAAGTTGAATTTCAAATGGCACATAGATATGAAACCTAAGGAAACATTATTTCTGTAATATATATAGAAAGGTTGTTATTCTTCTACAGAAACATTATTCAGATTAGATGGAAATAAAACATAAAATTTATGAATTAAGAAAGGGTCTCATTTTCCCTATTAATGACCAAAAAGGTAAGGTGGCTAACCCAAAGGAGAAGGCATGTGACCCAGCCTGTATCTCTCTACTACTTAACATTAATTAATAAGAGTTTGGAGAGGATGAAAAGCATCGTGTATATCTGCAATGACTATGATTTGGATTTTTTCTTCCAATAAGGTAAAGTTTACAGTTGAAAATTTTGGAACTATTATGATTTACAACGACTAAGTAGGATGAAATAATCATAGTATAATTTGCACCCTAGTAATGATTTAAAAAATAATCCCCACCTCAAAAAAAAATCTCAATAACTTGTTCAGTGTACTTTAGATTTTCTGGCCAAATCCATTATTTCAAGTAAGACATATCACTAACACCTTTTTCTCATATTCTTTCACAATGACTGTATCATATCATGAGTTTCTGAAAAAAACTCTGAAAAACCTGCAAGCATATCTTTTTACACGAAATGACAAATTAACAACTGGTTATAAAACATATTAAATAACACCCTTGGGAAATGCTTAATGGTTACCAACTGTATATTTCAACTGAGTGTAAACTAATAAATTTTAATAAGACAAACATCTATAATAAGTATATAGTAGTATGTTACTATTTACACTATATACAAATATATAAATTTTTTCTAAATTTTGACAAATTTATAAACCTTCAAAATAATTATGATAGTTCATCATCTACCATCATTCTTTTCATGGTTATAATGGTAACATATTGTGGTGAAAATACTTTGAATTTAATTAGTTTTAAGTGATTTACCAATTTGTATGACATAATTGAGATAAAATAAAGCTTAAGATGGCTGACAAGCATCTGAAACAATTTTCTTCTCTTTATATCTCTCTGTGATAACCATCTGCTATCATTTAAATTATAAAGATGAAAGCATTCTAAAGCTATAAAGAAATAGTTCTATATTTATTCTAATGCTACACTAAAATAAACTAAATAATCAAATATATATTAAGCCATAAATGAAAAAAACAAGCAGCAAATATTATGGAAAAGCACTTGAAACAATTAATGAAGGTTAAAATATTCATTACTATTACCATATCATGAACTATCCTTTTGTGCATAAATCTGAAATGACTCCCTATAATTCTAAAGATATCTTACTTTTATGAAATGCAGTTAGAGCATATTAACTGTTGTAGTAACAGTTACTTCTGATATTTTTAGTTGAATATTTTATTTATAATAATAAATAATGAAAGGGCCCTATTTTACTAATGAAATTGTTTTTAGATAAGAAGTAATGTAATATATTAAAGACCAAGGTTGAATTCTATCTTGTTCTCTTTTATTAAATAGGTCAAAATGCCTGTGAATATTCTCCTAAAGCTATTTCGATTATAGAAAAATGTGCTGTTGAACAGAATGATACATGTTTAAATTTTAAGCAAAGTTTTCCTTTATACTCTAAAATAAGTCTATAAAATAGGCACCCTAATAATGTACATGGTGCATGGTAGTGCTATTTAAGCAATCAGATAAACTTTTTAAAACACTATATAGAATTTTAGAAATGACATTTATACACATAATTAATAAGGTGATTATAAAACAGTATAAGTTAAACAGACCACCTCCCTTGATGGTTGCTACCATGAAATTATTTTTCAATTGCTATCTGAGGTATTATTATTTATTTTAAATGAATATTGTATCAAAATATATATTACTGGTTTAATTAAAGCTTGTATTATTTTACAATGATCTTTAATAGTATCAAAATAGCTTTTTGAAACTTATAACAGCTGAGAATACAAAATACACATTGAAAATAGTAATGCAAACTACTACAAACAACTTTCTGCAGGAGGACTTACTCTACTACAAATAGTTGAGGAAATGTGTGCTTGATTTTGTCCAGGATGTCACATTTGTAATGTCTGAAATGGTCTTTGGAGTCTCTAATCCCAAACAAGTATTTATGTCAGCAAAAATATTTTTGAAAATGTAAATATAATTATTAAAATTCGTATTTACCTTATTTGCACTTTTAATCCCCAAAAATGTCTGTCCCAGAGGTACTGGTCGAAAACGGCCGTCAAAGTAGAAAAGTCCAATATACGGATTAACATGTAAAAATGTAGCAACATCGAGGTAGTTGGGTAAGGTTGCAGAGAGTCCAAGAATCCTTATCATACTCTGTGTGGATTCAACCTATATGAATTATGTTAATTAAGTATGGCTTATGTAAATTAAATTAACCAAATAATATTGTCATGTGTCCTATTATTAGGACCTTCTAAAAACAGCAAATGGAGATGTGTCTAGAGGTCAAGTGAAGGACTACCATGTAAGATTTTATAGGCCATAGTTCACAAGCTTGACTCTATAGATACGTAATACAATTCTTCACACACTATAATTAAAAATATACATGAGCATTTACATTAAATAGCTATAAGAACTTTGTAACAATTAAATGTATTTTTACGTCACAAAAATCTCAGTAATTTCCCAAAACTAAAACTCGTATAGGCCATATTCTCTGATTACAATGTAATACATCTAGAAAAAGAAAACCAAAGGATGGTCAAAAGCTCTATTCACTTGGTAATTACAATGTATCATTATGATCCCATGATGCTGCTAACAACTTCATAGCTGTTCTCTGAGGAAGCTGTTGATAATTTTGTTCAGTCTTGGAGACTCAATGGGTATAAGCAAAGTAGTCCAATGTGAATAATATTAACACTTCCAGAATCATCCATCCATCAACAATGGGTTAGGACCTAACCTGTAGGCACTGGGGATGCAGTTCTGAATAAGACATAGAACCATACATGCAGGGACTATTTGTAGAAGTATAAAGAGGGAGGATCAAAAAATAATAGAGATGGGTGAAAATTAAAATACAAATACATATACAACATTTTTACCACGAATTTATTTTCACTAACAAAATCTTATGGATATCAGTAAAAACCCAAACCAAACCCCACTAAAAGCAAGGAACCCTAAGGAGAAATGATGGGCATACCTATTATGTAAGAAATCTCCTTCACAACATATAATAATTAGAAAGATTTTAATTATACTATAGTTCTATGTAGTACCGGTAGTGATTTGAAAGAAATGAAAGTGAGATATATATGTATTTCTTTCTTTGTTTTTTTTAATGTTGCTTAGGCTGGAGTACAGTGGTGTGATCATAGCTACCTGTAACCTTGAAATCCTGGGCTCAGGGGATCCTCCTGCCTCAGTGTCCTGAGTAGCTGGTACTATAGGCATATGCCAACAAGGCCAGCTAATTTTTTGACTTTTTGTAGAGATGGGGTCTTGCTATGTTGCCCAAGCTGGTCTGGATCTCCTGGTCTGAAGTGATCTTCCCACCTCAGCCTTTCAAAGTGCAGCAATTACAGGCGTGAGCCACCATGCCTAGCCCATGTTCTGTTTTAAAATCATTATTTAAAACACAAAAGTTACTGAACATATTTTAAGGTCTTTTTATAGTAAATACGTGATACCCTGGTAAACACCAGAGACTTTTTTTCTGTTAGAAATTCATTTTAAAGCAGCCACTTTTTAAAATCTAAAAGTATAATCCTATCATTCATAAAACAGTTAAGCCTGTGTGAGAAATATTTTATTTGAAATAGGAATAATTTGGAATTTTATGTCCTAAGCCAAATCTTGAAGCTCTATATACTGTCCATATTCACCTAAAAAATAATAATTGCTGAAAACTATAAACAATTAAAATTTTACAGCTTCCTCTTTATCATTAGCCCAAAGACTAGGCAGTAATTTTTTATGATGCTTTCCCTCACACAAAATCCATGTTCAGAAAAAGTCTCCCTATTCACTAGAAGCAAAGTTAGTTCAGAAGACAACTAATATTAGTTTCATGTTGTTAAACACAACAGATTTGGGATTTCTTATACTTTTACCTTTTCTAAATTTCTGCTACTCATGCCACGTGTGTTATGAATTTCATCTCTAATCCCACCATGCAACTTCAGTTCCTCAACAAAATCTACAGTGTCTTGGAAGAGTTTCCTATGATGATTCTACATTTGGTTACACATGTTGCAGTATGATGTGATGTGAAATTGAAGTGTGATGTGATATGCCATCTGCTGGGAACGTCTGGTAATCACAAGGAACAAACAAAAACAAGAACTTTACTTTTTAATAAAAATAGTTATGAACACTGCATTATACTTTAGAAATATGAGAAGAATCACACAGACACTTCTGTCACGGAGATTAAAACCTAGTGAGGGATACAGATGAAGACAGAATTAACTAGCAAGTTGTGAAATTATAAGGAAGGCTATGATACGTGCTAAAAATGTGCAATGGTGGGGGGAGTACAGAGGAAACACAGAAAAAAGGCGTAATTCATTCTGAGGAACTAGAAAACAATTCACAGAAGAAGTGGTATTTCATGAATTCAAAAGAACAGATTTTCAGTAAGTGGATGTATGGAGTTAAAAAGAAAAAAGGTATTATATGATTTGGCATTCATAACTCTTATCTCACAACCAACACCACATTCTGCTTCAAGTACAATTAATTTAGTCTCTGAATGAAGGTCAATGGTATTGGAAAGGAAGTAGAGAAAAATCAAATAGTTTTGTGTGGCTAACAGATACATAGAAGTTAAAATTAGACAGATGAGGGCTTTAATAATCTTTAATATCCGGCTAAGGAATTTGAATATTTTTCTTAAGACATCAAACAGCAAGTCAACAAGGTTTATGGGCACAGTAGTGCAAAACTATATAATTCGAATTTGTTCACAGTGGGAAGAAGGAATTAATATAT